CTATCCTAATCCCTGGAACTAAAACATGCCAAATGGGAAAGCTGCAGATAATACGAAGGTTACTAAACAGCTACATTAAGATAGAACATCCTGGATCCTCCAGGTGGCTCTAATGTAATCACTGAAAAGTGGGAGAGAGAGATTCAGGGTAGGAGGATAAACACAATAGTGCAGGCTTTGAAGATGGAAGAAGGGGACCATAAGCAAGGAATTTGGGTGGCCTTTACGGGCTAAAGAAAGGAAGTAAACAGCCCAAAGAACACAGCCCTGCCTATATCATGATTTTAACACAGCAAGACCTGTATCAGACTTCTGACTTTTAGAACTATAAAATAATAAATTTGGGTACTGTTAAGCCACCCAGTTTATGATCATTTGAAACCAAACACACCTCCATACATAATTACCACAATTCTACCTATCTTTCAGGGCTTGTTTCAACAACCTCTATAATGCAAAGACTATTCAGCCCTCCTTGAGTTCCCTCTCTGCCAACCATGCTGGATAGGCTTCCTTGCTCCTGTGAACCCACAAAAGTATCTGATGGAAGTAATAGGTCAGTCTCGGTCTTAGCCACTCACCAGCTACAGGACAGTGTAAAGTCCCTTAACCTCACTGCACTTTACTTTCTTCATCTATCAAAAAACAATCTGATGAGGCTGTTGTGAGGATTAAACACAGGAAAGAATATACATTTCAAAGTACTGTGTCTGGCACATGGTAAGCACTCAAGCGTTAACCATCATCATGAACTTTATTCTCACCTGTCTTTCAGAGCTACAGCCACATCACGGTCTTATCACCATACGAGACAGACACATGCCTACCCACGCTTCCTCTGCAGGGAATCTCTACCGCACAACAGAGAGTTTAACAGAAGAGTGGCAATCAACCTCAAAAAGTTCACCTCAGAAAACAAGAAAAGCACTGGTAACTGGAACAATGAATCAAGTGTGCCAAAATTTATATACTCACTAGAGCAAATATAAATAAAGAGGAATATCTGAATGCCAGAGAGAAGGTTTAGGAGAAAAGATAAATGTTATTTAAGAAATAAAAGGCACCCTCATTATAGACACTGTAATCAAATACATAATTCTCTCAGCTCATCCAGAATCTACCATGACCTGAAAATTCTAACTTCTTCATTGGTAAAGCAATCAATATACTTCTTGTACTCCTTTAGAAATGGAACAAAGCAAAACTTTGTAGACTCTAATAGTAATTTCAACAATTTACTAAAACATTCAATAAAACTTGCTGCAAAAGAGCCTTTTCCCAAATGGAAATGGAAAATTTGTATGACATTTAAGATGTCCATTTCTAGTTTGAAAGCAATAAAACTTTGTCAAGATTTTGATGAAAAGGATCATTTTTCTCTTGATAGAAATAATTATGGATATACTTCTTTTAAAACATTTGAATGTAGGTTAAAAAGAAAAAAAGGAATGAGCTTCACCAGAGGTAAAAACTAAAATCCAAGTTAAGATGTTAAGAGTGACACCGTGACAAATGCTATGGGGATGCCCTCACCTGAGAGCAAATGATAAGGCTATATAACTGATTCAGGAAAGTGATTAGGACTCAGAGAAGGTTAGAAACTCCAAACTCAATTAGAGAGAGTATGGACTGAATTCTCTTAACATCAAAAGCATATTTGCTAATTTACTTACTAAGGGTTGGTGCTATACGGTAATATGACAGATGGCAAATATCCAGTGAGCTTTAAAAAGTTTATAGTGTAGGGACGCCTGGGTGGCTCAGTCAGTTAAGTGTCCAACTCTTTGATTTCAGCTCAGGTCATGATCTAAGGGTCACAAGGTCGAGCCCCATGTCAAGTTCCACATGCAGTGGGGAGTAGGCTTGAGGACAGTATGTCTCCCTCTCCTCTACCACTCCCCCTCATGCTCACGCTCACATGCGTGCACTCTCTCTAAATAAATTTAATTTTTTTTAAATAAAAAGTTTATAGTATAGCCTCATTGTAAGAAACACTAAATCCAAAAGAAGGGAGACTCAAAAAAAAAAATACATGAAAAATTTTAACTTAATCCCATTTAAAATGGGTACCTAAAGCAAATTTCGTAACGTTTCTTAGGGCAACAAACAATAGTTATGACTTCAAAACAAAACGTGCATTCAACAAATATTTACTACATACTCAATTTCATACTAGATACTGAACTTAGAGATAATATTACAATAATAATTTAAACACTTTCAGAGCCCAAGAAGTTTACAATTTAAAATATAAATTAGGGGCACCTGGGTGGCTCAGTCGGTTAAGCACCTGCCTTTGGCTCAGGTCATGATCCCAGGGTCCTGGGATCGAGCCCTGCATCAGGCTCCCTGCTCAGTGGGGAATCTGCTTCTCACTTTGCCCTTCCCCCCTGCTCATGCTTTTTCTCTCAGATAAATAAATAAAATCTTTAAAAAAAATAAAATAATAAAATAAAATATAAATAATACAGTCTGAAAGTGCCATAACCTAGATATATAGGGAATGTGGTGGATGCACAATGCAAAGAGAGATGTATTCAGCCCAATCAAGAGAGCACATAACTGCACAGGGAAGGCTTACCAACATGGTGAATAGGGAAAGGGTGAGATGTGCCAGGGACACCTGACAGCATGCACCGGGGCCTGAGGTCAGGAGAGAATACAACCTTGAGTTTGGGAAGCTCCAGTTGTTCAGTGTGATTGAGCAGGGAGTAACCATATTAGAGGCACAGAGAAACTAGACAAAGTACCTTTGAAGACAAACTGTCAAAAGCAATAGTCAAGAAGTCAGCAAGGGCTGCCAAGTCACCCTGAAGAGACCCAATGGACTGAATACAAGTGTCAGACCATAAAATCTTAACACACTTAAAGAAATGTATCTCAGCAAAAAAAGGATGAGGGATGATCAATCCTATACTGAAAAAAAAAGATGGAGGGGGAGAGGGAGAGAGAGAGAGAGAGAGACAGAGAGAGAAAGATTCTCAGAAACACTTGACTTTGTTCTCCTGGAGGCATTGTTCAGGAGAAAGCACACTTAGCCAAACTCCAAGTATCACTGTCCAACTGGTAAGGCAATCTGTACTGTGAAGAGAGTTTAGCATAAATCCATTAAACTTTCAAATTATAAAAATCAATGATTCATTCATTCAGTAAGTAAATATTTATTAAATCCCTGCTGTGTACGTTCTTCCATATTCTGAGGATACAGTAGGAGGCAAGGGAGTCAAAACTCCCTGCCACCTTGGAGCTTATTACACGCCAATGACGGGAAAAATGAAAATATAAATGAACTCATATAGATTTCAATAATGAGAGGTGTCACAGAAGAAAATAGGCAAACATGGAGGACAGGGAAAGTAGGGATATGGCAATTTTCAGTAGGAAATCGGGAGTAAAAAGAAAAACTGCAGTGTGTGAAGGAAGGAGGATGGAGATGGAGGGAGAGGCAAACAGCCTTATGCTTGTAATTTGGCTCAGGCTCAAAATATTAGATGCTCCAGTCAATGTGATAACTACACTTTTTGCTGCTATATTCTGATTTAATCACTAGCCTCTGAGCTTGATGAGTATAGGTTTCTGCATCTTCGTCACTGAAGGCCAGATAGTGGTCCAAGACCCATTCAGCAAAGCAAATCAAAGTCACCCTACAGGGCTTTGAGAGAAAAAACAAACGACTTCTTCAACCTTCCCTGGTCTTTGGTAGCGATAGGAAGGCTTAACCAGAAGGTGATAAAATCAGAGAAAGGGTGACCTGTGACTGTTGTCACAGAGCTGCAACTCTGCAGGAGGAAGGGGAGGCTATGCTTAGAGATGGGAAGATGCTGGAGGGAAAAGACAAGCTCATCTGCTCTCCAAAGGGAACAGCATGAAGGAAGCAAAGGACAGAGGAAAACAATTCTAGAAAAGAGGGAAGGATGCTGAAATCAAAAAGCAGGAAAAAGGCACAAGGGTGGCTCCATCAGTTGAGCATCTGACTCTTGATTTTGGCTCAGGTCATCTCAGGGTGGGGAGATTGGGCCCACATTGGGCTCCAAGCTCAGCGTGGAGTCTGCTGGAGATTCTCTCCTTTTCCCTCTGCATGCTGCCCCCCATTCATGCTCTCTTTTAAATTAAAAAAAAAAAAAAAGGCAGCAGGATAGCTTAAGTTTTATTAGTGGAGGGACTACCATGATTTAAAGAACAGAAGGGGGGATCCCTGGGTGGTTCAGTGGTTCAGCGCCTGCCTTTGGCCCAGGGCATGATCCTGGAGTCCTGGGATCGAGTCCCAAGTCAGGCTCCCAGCATGGAGCCTGCTTCTCCCTCTGCCTGTGTCTTTGCCTCTCTCTCTCTCTCTGTCTATCATGAATGAATAAATAAATTCTTAAAAACAACAACAACAACAACAGAAGGCCTTGGCCTCATCAGACTTTCAAGTTACACTAATATTGACGACAAATTCCATATATGCAAATAAAACTCAGGATGAATGAGCATACAAAGCATCATAGTAAGAGACAGGAACTTCAGACCTAGATGTGAAATTTAAGAGTGTTTACTATTCAGCTATGATGCTTATTTTTAGTTCAAAGCTCATAAGGGCAATATTTTAAGACATGTGTTTCAGATAGTCAGTAATCAAAATATGGTTAATATCTTGGGCATTATTTACAATAACCCTATTGAAAAAAACAGATGATGGGTATGCTAACCATTCCAACAACAAAACACCCTTTTTAAAAATATATTAACCCAAGAGCATTGCTGGAAAATGAAATCTATGTTTACTACCAAAAAGACGTCAGAATAATATTAAACAAAGACCTAAAGCCCTGCTGCAAATATACATGTAATTTGCACACAGGGAACATTTAATAGGGGACTGTCTTCATGTGGTTTCGAGCTTTTTGATTTTTCTCTCCCATGGAAATGTTCAGCTGCTTTACTGTGTCACATGTCCAGGGGGAAAGCCTGAAATCATGGATACATTGAATAGTGGATGCATGAGTCTGAGAGACACTTACCCAGTATTGACGGAAATGATTTCTATCAGTGGATTTTTCCTAATCTTTGGCAGATCCAACCGTGCTCCACCCAGCCGCTTCCCATTAGCCTTTTTCTGACCCAGCAGCCTCACGGAATGACCTTCAAATAAAGCACATAAATATACTTTAGCATTGGCCACAGAACATCGCTTTCATTCACTGCTCTCAACAAACATGTTCATATTTTCACTTACCTCCTTCTTTGAGGAAACAAAGAACAAGAACTATATATATATATATATATATATATATATATATATATATGAGAGGATGTGATCATTCACCTAAGAAAACTGTCAAAGGGCAAAACAGTTGCATGTGCGTCCTGCAGTCAAAAGTGCTGTGCTTATATTATTTGCACATTTCTACTGCACAGATGACAGCAACAGAAACATCCTCAGAATGTCATTCCGTAAGGTATACGTGCTCTAGAGCATTGACCAGGTATGTACGTGAAGCAGAAAGGCTTTATATGGGCACTGGCCCTGCCAGGCAACTCAGTGCTGGGGGATTAAAAAAAAGAAAAAAAAGCAGAAGCAGATTATCTGCTCAAAACAAACAGCAAATCGAAGAAATAAAGAATTAAAAAGCTGAGATAAAATAATACTTTAGGGTCAGATTTTTTAAAACAAAAGATTTGAACTTATTTTTTAAAGATATTACAAAAGAAAATCAGACTATTTCTAAGAGTCACAAAAATAGTTATAATTTTGAAATTTTGGATTAATTGCAGTTGTAGAAAATATGGAACAACAGTACTAAGACTTCTTATTCCCTTGAGATTCTCCAATTATTATTTTTTCCATGTTTACATGGTCTTTTTCTCATTACATACATAGTGGTTTTTTTAAATAATTTTACCAAGGTATATCTTGTAAGATTCACTCATTGTGAATATACAACTTAATGATTTTAAATAAAGGCAGTTATACAGTCATTACAAAAACCTGGTTTTAGAACATATGCATTACCCCCAAAATTCCCTTAAGTTTATGTATAGTGCACCCTTGCTCCCATTCCAAAATATATGACATTCTGATTGGTTGACCAGCTGGTGGATGTTTGGATTGTTTCCAATTAATATCTATTAGAATAATGCTTCTATGAATATCCACATACAAGTCTTCATGTGGACATCAAATTTTATTTCTCTTGGATAAACTCCTAGGAATAACTGCTGGGTTGTGTGGTCAATTTATATATAACTTTATCAGAAACAACTATTTTCTAAAGTGGTGGTACCATTTTATATCTTACCAGCAATGTGTGAAGGCTTAAGTTTCCCCACATTGTCAATGGAGACCTCATGCTGTAACTTTTTTGATAGCAGCACTTCTGGTGAGAAGTAATATATGATTGTGGTTTGAATGAATATGCATTTTTCCATAGTGATTATGATGTGGACACGTTTCCATGTGTTTATTAGCCAACTACAGGTCTTATTTGGCAAAATATGGTGATGGCTCATATTTATGTGTCACCTTGACTAAGCTACAGGGTCCCCAGACATTAACCAAACGTTCTCTCGAGTGTTTCTGTAATGATGTTTCTGGTCTTAACTGATATCTGAGTCAGTAGACTGAGTAAAGCAGATTAACACTAATGGGCCTTATCCAATCAAAGACCCAAATAGAACAAAAAAAGGCTAAGAGGGAACCACTGCTGCCTGGCTGGAGCTAGGTCATTGCTCTTTTCCAGCCTTCAGATTCTGACAGAAAGAGAGGCTCTTCTTGAATCTTGTTGCTGCCCAATCACAGACTAAAATTATACCATCAGCTCTACTGATTCTCAGGCTTTTGGACTTGAACTGGACCTACACATCAGTTCTGTTGGGTCTTTATTTTCTTTTAAGATTGTATTTGTTACTTAGGAGAGGGAGAGAGGGAAGGGGGAGACAGAGAGGTAGAGAGAGAGTGAGAGAATGAATGAGTCAGAGGAGGGGCAAGGAACGTCCCACTAAGCAGGGACCCCAACACAGGACTCAATCCCAGGACCCTGAGATCATGACCGGAGCCGAAGGAAGACACTTGACTGAAGAGCCACCCAGGGGCCCCTCTCTTAGATCTTTAGCTTGTGGACTACAGTCTCGGGAATTCTTAATCTCTATAACATCTCCATAATGGTATGAGCCAATTCCTTATCATACATTTCTTTTCAACACACATACCCTACTGGTTGTTTCTCTAGACAATCCTCAGTAATATAAATGTCTACTCCAGAAGTTTGCCAATATTTTAATTGGAGTAACTGTCACAGAGTTATAAGAATTCTATATTCTGCCTTCAAAACCTTTTTCAGGGATCCCTGGGTGGCTCAGCGGTTTAACGCCTGCCTTCCACCCAGGGCATGATCCTGGAGTCCCGGGATCGAGTCCTACATTGGGCTCCCTGCATGGAGCCTGCTTCTCCCTCTGCCTGTGTCTCTGCCTCCCTCTCTCTCTCTCCTTTCTCTCTCTCTCTCTCTGTGCCTCTCATGAATAAATAAATAAAATCTTTAAAAAAAATCCTTATTAAAAAAAAAAAAAAGAATTGTCTCAAAACCTTTTTCAGGTATGTGATTTGTAAATATTTCCTCTCAGGCTGCAGCTTAGTTTCCCTTTCATGACAATATCTTTTAAAGAGTAAACTTTTTCAATTTAATAAAGTGCACGTTCTCAAATTTTTCTTTTATAACTCATGCTTTTGCTATTCTAGCTAAGGACTTCTTTGCCTAGCCCAAGAGCACAGAGACTTCTTCCATATTTTCTTCTTGAAGTCTTACTGTTTCAGGTCTTATCTTTAGGACTAGGACCCACTTTGTTACTTTTTGTGTATAAGGGTCTAAGTTCATTTTTTGCATAGGGATATTCAATTGTCCATGTGCAATTTCTTTTCCCTCCTTCTTTTGTACTATTGTTGTCAAACATGTTAACATACGGCTGTATAAATGCCCAAAACAGAGTGCCATAATTATTGTTTTTGCATAGTTGTGGTTTTGGGTTTTTTTTTGGGTGGGGCACTGGGAGGTTCTAGAAGAAGGGGCAGAAGGAGAGAACCTTAAGCAGGCTCTACACAGAGCCTGACAGCAGGCTCGATCCCACAACCCCAAGATCATGATCTGAGCTGAAATCAAGAGTCAGATGTTTGACTGAGCCACCCAGGCACCCTACACCTATATAGTTTTTGAAAAGAGGAAAAACATACATTTACAGAGGACTTTATATTTACCCACATATTTAACCATTTCTAACACTCATTCCCTCCTGAGAATTCAACTTAGCACTTGATACTACCTCTTTTCTGCCTGAAGGACTTTCTTTACCCTTTCTTGCAAAGGAAATCTGCTAGCAACAGATTCTTGCTTACTTGGGAGAATATTTCGCTTAATTTCTGAAAGATACCTTTGCTGGATACAGAATTATTAGCTGGCAGGTTTTTTTCTTTGAGCACTGAATACAGTTGATCCTTGAATACTGCAGAGGTAAGCAGTACCACACCCCATCCAGGTGAAAATCCACGTACAACTTTTGACTCCCCAAAAACTGAACTCCTAATAGCTTATGCTGTTTACTGATAACACAGTTGATGTACAAATAGTTTATATGTCTTATGTATTATATATTTAGTACAAAATAAGCTAAAGAAAATGTTAAGAAAAGTACAAGGAAAACTGTATTGTAAACAAATGCATGTAGAATCGGGCCACACAGTTCAAACACCATGTCGTTCAGAGGTCAGCTCTGTCACATTCCACTACCTTTGACCTCTGCTGCTTCTGATGAGAAGTCAGTTATCAATTTTAATGTTGCTCCCCTTGTATATAATGTGTCATTTCTTTCTGATGCTTTCCAGATTTTCTCTCAGTGTAGACCTCTGTGGTTTTCATATATGCAATTCATGTGGCTTTTGGCTCCATAAAGTTTTGTTTTGTTTTAATCAAGTTTGGGAAGTTTTCACACAGGATTGTTTTTTTAAAAAACTGGAGGGAGGGAATCACTTTTTCTATCGTTTTCTGTGGCTCCCTGACACACTTGGGTGTGCTGAATGCTGTCCCACAGGTCTCTGAGTCCCTGATGACTTTTCTTATTATTCAGGTTGGATCATTTCTATTGATCTATCCTCAAAATTACTGATTATTTTTCTCTTGCCATCTTAAACCTGAAATTGAGCCCTTTGAATATTTCATTTCAGTTATTGTACTTTTCAACTATAGATTTCACATTGGCTCTTTATAATTTCTATCTTTTTGTGATTCTGTATTCAAGTCACTATCATCACCCTTTCCTTAAAGGCTTTTAACATGGTATTTAGTACTTGGGAGTTTTTGCTAACACCAACATTTTTGGCCAGAGACAATCTCTATTGACTGGTTTGACTTTTTTTTCCCCTTGTATGTGGGTATATTTGGTTTTCTTTGCATGTATCATATAATATGTTGTTCAGTTCAGAACACTATAGGTAATATATTGTAGCAACTCTCAATTCAGATTTCCCCCCACCAGGGATTATTGTTGTTTGTTTAGGAGCTTACCTGGACTAAATCTATAAAGTCTATATCTCTACAATGAAAAGTTGTGGACGTCCCTTCTTAGCTTTCTATCTGCTCCCAACAACACCAAGCATTACTTCCAGTGGGTCAAATCTGTATCTGCATAGCTTTTTATTAAGGAAAGACTGTCACACATTTGTTCAAACACCACAAACCAGTAAGATTTCAATCTTCTGATGGAACTGTGTATGAACCAGTGAGGTTACTCAAAGTTAGGGCTACTTTCAAGTCTGCCCCTCCTTTTCAGGATGTGCACACAGGCTCCAGCAGGCAGGTGAGTGTGAGTGGCCTAGGCCCACTCCAGTCTCTGCTGTGCACAAGCACCAATCAACTAATCTTGCTCTATGGAGACTCAACAAGCATCCTATCACTGCATCACATCCTGGAAGTCTCTGTTAAATCTCCAGCTGGTCCACCTGTCCACTCTTCATGCCAGACAGTCCCACAATTTCAAACAGGTAGAAACACATACCCTCCTTATCACTCACCATCAAAATCTCCACTTTGATGGACAGTTCTTCAAATCAAAGGTGCTGTCTTGGGAGCAGCCACAAAGCCCCCAGTTTTCACAGC